CATCTAAGTTAATTTTAATTTCTAAGTTATAAGTCGATGAATCAGTTTAATCATTATTCAAATAGCTATATTTGATGATGATCAATTACAACAACAATAATAACATACCCAGTATTATCCCACACTGTGGGGTCTGGGGAGGGTAGTGTGTACGCAGACATTACCCCTACCTTGTGAAGATAGAGAGGTTGTTTCCAATAGACCCTCGGCTCAGGAAAGCATAAGCACCACATTAATGAAAATATAGACAAGAAGGGACAGTACCAAAAAGCCATATAAAAGCAGAATAAAAACAACAAGACAGTAAGGTGATCAACAATGAAAGAAAACAACGGTTAGGCATAAAATTTTACTACCAACAGAAAGCGAGACTGCGTGTCAATACTACTGTTATGAACACTCTAGACTACCTACTCAACTACCCTAATCCTCGACATCCATACCTTCCTATCAAGGATCATGTCCTCGGTCAGCTGAAGTTGTGCCATGTCTTGCCTAATCACTTCTCCCCACATCTTCTTTGGTCTACCTCAACCTCTTCGTAGGCCCTCTAATGTCAACATCTCACACCTCCTCACTTGGACGTCTGTGCACCTCTTCCTCACATGACCAAACCACTTAAGCCGTGCTTCCCTCATCTTGTCCTCAATAGGGGNGGGGCATTTGTGCACCTCCTCCTCACATGACCAAACCACATAAGTCGCACTTCCCGCATCTTGTCCTCAATAGGGGACACACCCACCTTGTCGTGAATAACCTCATTTCTTATCCTATCTAACCTAGTTTGCCCGCACATTTATCTCAACATACTCATCTCTGCTAACTTCATCTTCTGGACATGACCGATGTTGACTGGCCAATACTCAGCCCCATACAACATCGTTGGTCTGACCACCACTATGTAGAACTTACCCTTAAGTTTCGGTGGCACCTTCTTATCACACAAAATACCTTAAGCGAGTCTCTATTTCATCCATCCCGCCACAATACGATGTGTCACATCTTTATCAATCTCCCCATCCCCATGAATAATAGACCCAAGTTACTTAAACCTCCCTCGCCTAGGGATGACCTGTGAGTCCAGCTTCACCTCCCCTTCCCCTCCTTGAGTCTCGCCACTGAACTTACACTCCAAGTATTCTGTCTTGGTCCTACTCAACTTGAAACTTTTAGATTCCATGGTCTACCTCCATTCCTCTAATTGCGCCTTCAAACCAGCTCACATCTCGCAAATCAATACAATATCATCTGCAAATAACATGCACCACGGCACCTCCCCTTGGATGTGGCGCGTTAGTATGTCCATCACCAGAGCAAACAAAAAATGGCTGAGTGCAAACCCCTAATGCAACCCCATCATAACCGAAAAATAGTCCGAGTCCCCACCCGCCATCCTCACTCGGGTATTTACTCCATTATACATGTCCTTAATCAACCTGACGTAGGCAACAGGTACACCTCTAGCCTCCAAACATCTCCACAAAACCTCCCTCGGAACTTTATCGTACACCTTTTCTATGTCGATGAACACCATATGCAAGTCCTTCTTTCTCTCCCTATACTGCTCCATCAATCTCCTAACCAGGTGGATGGTTTCTGTAGTCGAACGCCCCAGCATAAACCCAAACTGGTTCTCAGAAATAGACACACACCTCCTCACCCTAACCGAAAAATGGTCCGAGTCCCCACCCACCATCCTCACTCGGGTCTTTACTCTATTATATATGTCCTTAATCAACCTGACGTAGGCAACATGTACACCTCTAGCCTCCAAACATCTCTATAAAACCTCCCTCGGAACTTTATCGTAAATCTTTTCTAAGTCGATGAATACCATATGCAAGTCCTTCTTTCTCTCCCTATACTGCTCCATCAATTACCTAACCAGGTGGATGGCTTCTGTAGTCGAACGCCCCGGCATAAATCCAAACTGGTTCACAGAAATAGATACACACCTCCTCACCTTTAGCTCTACCACTCTCTCCCAGACTTTCATAGTATGGCTAAGCAGCTTAATACCCCGATAATTATTGCAATTTTGGATATCACCCTTGTTATTGTATACAGGAACCATCGTGCTCCACCTCCACTCTTCAAGCATCTTCTTCGTTCTAAAAATGGCATTAAATAACCTAGTGAGTTACTCCAAGCCTGCCTTGCTCGCGCTCTTCCAAAACTCCACCGGGATTTCATCTGGCCCGGTCGTTTTGCCCCTGCTCATCTTACGCATAGCCCCCTCAACTTCATCAACTCTAATCTGCCAACAATACCCAAAGTCACAACGACTCCCAAAGAGTTCCAAATTACCCAGTACAATACTCTTGTCCCCCTCCTCGTTCAAGAGACTATGGAAGTAGATCTTCCATCTCTGAGGGATAATCTCCTCATCCAACAAACTCTAACTTTTTCGTCCTTGATGCACTTCACCTGGTCCAAGTCACGCGCCTTCCTTTCTCGTGCCTTGGCTAACCTGAACAACCTCTTATCCCCACCTCAGCCCTCGAGTTCCTCATACAAACGACTAAAAGTTGCAGTCTTGGCCGCCGTAACTGCTAGCTTTGCCTCTTTCTTAGCCAACTTATAATGCTCCATATTCGCCCTCTTCTCCTCCTCGTCTACACTTTCTACTAGCTTCAGATACACTGCTTTCTTGATTTTTACTTTTCCTTGAACCTCTCTATTCCACCACCAGAGTGACCCTTTGAGACGCCTAATACTTCTCTCGCGGCTTCCCTAATGCACTGTGCAGTCGTGGTCCACATAGTGCTTGCGTCTCCACTACTCCTCCAAGCCCCCAATAGTCACCAACTTGACCTCCAACTCCTGCACTTTAGCTTCCGTCAAGGCTCCCCACTCTATCCTATGTTGGCTATACATCACCCTCTTCCTCGTGATCTCAAGGTCCATGACCAGGATCCTATGAAGGGTCGAGAGGTTCTCACTCAGGATGACCTTGCAATCCATGCAAAGACCTCTATCGGACTTCCTGGAGAGTAAATAATCAATCTGAGTCTCGGCCACCGAGCTCCGGAAGGTGACCAAGTGCTCCCTTTTCTTCGGGAAACTCGAGCTTGTTATCACAAAATCAAATGCTCTAGCAAATTCCAGCAGAGACATTCCTCATCCGTTTCTATCTCCAAAACCAAAGCCACCATGCACATCATCATACCCTCAGACGTCGCTCTAATGTGGACGATGATCAATTATATATACTAATTAGATTATTGCTTCTTCACAAGCCTATCCCCCTAAAAAATCGATAATCTAGCCCTAGGGCTTCGCATACTTAGATGTGGCTATATATATAGACACACACACACTTCGTTGTACTACTTTAACTATATATAGCTTATTATAGTATCTGTTAGTGCATTCATTGTTTGTATTACAAAATGAAGTGGCACATGGATTACATGTATATTATTTATAGTAAATTTTAATGTGGTCATATTTCACCTATAAATGGACCGACATTGGTCGGTTAGTTTTCAGAAATTACAGTTACCGACCAAAGTTTGTCGGTAAAAGGTCCTCTTGTAATAACCGACCGACTTTGGTCGGTAACTTGAACTATAAATTTTATAAAATATTTTAAATAATAATTTAATTATTAAAATTTAAAAATGTGGGACCAGTTAACCGACTGATGTTGGTCGGTAAACAAAAAGTGCTTTGACTAAGCAAGTCTGACCATTGCGGTCAAATGTTTGACCAATTTACCTACCGATTTCGGTCGGTAATGTTTTTCGGGGTAATTGCGCCAATTATTACCGACCATCTTTTGTCGGTTTGTCATTTAAAAAAAATTAAAATATTTTTTGGGTAGTTTCCGTCTGCGCTAGACGGAAAAATGGTCGCTTTTTTGGACCGACCAAAGTCAGTCAGTAGCCGCCGAACGAAATTTACTGGATTTCTAGTAGTGTATTCCATTTTCCATGTTGAATGAACTCCTTATACCTATACGATTCATATAACTGCATCAAATCTTTAAGGAAACAGAACAACCGAAAGGTTTAATTTATTAGGAAAACATAGTAAATAAGAAGTTCTCTAATCCTTTGTGATAATGCTGCAAATGTATTAATTGGTGTATCAATATATCAACTACAGTTACGTTGCACTAACAAGTTCAAAGTGCATTAATAGAAAATCTATTCATGTCACAAATGAAGGTATTATTATAACAAGACTCCTTGGTAAATTATCTACACCTTTACATGTATATCAAGGAATACATTATAGATGTATATGACAAGATATTATATGTTCTGTATATCAAAAAGAAAACTCTGCGTATGCTGCAGTCCTCCTTGATAGATCTTTCTGTGTATGACTTTTATCAAAGTTATTGCTATCCAAGCATATAAATTAAAGTAATATACTGTGGCATCATAGGGTTCCCAGACCACAAACTGTGTCTATTCAAGTCAAGCAGGAATGTAAAACATCGAGTACATGATATTGTAAATAGGAGACAGAGATTTAAAGATAGAGCATGAATAGAATACTTACACAAATTAGGAAGCTAGTTTATAGTTTTTTTTTGCAGTTTTGTGAATAGGAGACAGGAATGTCATAATATTTTTTTCTTCGCCAAAAAAAAAAAAAAACAGTAACAATAAATCCAGTATGATGGGGAGGGTATACTGTGTATGAAGTCCTACCCCTACTTTATGAAGGTAGAAAGACTGTTTCGGATAGATTATCGGCTCAGAAAAAGCATAATCCCAGCATTACTGAAGCAATACTAACAACAACAAGATAAAAAGAAAGCTGAAGCAAAGAAACAACTTGCAGTAATAAAGATGTAAGTATAAGAAAGTAAGAAAATAATATCGATACTATGTATAAGAAAGTAAGAGAATAATATCAATGCTATCGGGAAGAAAAGGATAAATGCACAACTACCTATATAGTACTAGATACGATACTTGCTTCAAGAGTTGGAATCCGTACTGTTGATTGTGGTATTGCTCAGCTATTCAGGCACAGATACCTAGCTAGTAGTATCCTTCGGACGAACTCAAGCTTTCCACATATGTAATAACAGATGTAAATAAGTATGTCTTTCCGTGGACAACAATGTCTCGCACATTATCATCCTTAGGATTGTATATAACAATTCTCTGACTATCTCGTTCGCGTATTATCAAAGCTAATTTTCCATTCTCTGTCACGATAAAAGGCGCTGCAAGTCCAAAAAGAAGACCTATTCCTAAATCCTTTATGAAAAATAAGGGTGTCCACGATTCCTTTACTCCATATTCCTTCATGATCAGTATCTCAAAACCCTTATAAGATTTCAGACAAGTCATACAAAGACATTCATCTAAAACGCCTAAACCAACTATAACATTATCTAAACCAACTCCTCGATAATTAGACTTTAGGGACTGGAAACATATGGAACTTTTCAGTAATAGGATCAAAACAAATTACTTTGGGGTCGTTGTTCTTATCGAGCCTTACCGTCTTAGAGTGAAGTCGTCCATGCAATGTAATCCAAGCATCAGAATGCATAGAGCAGACATCATAAGGTAATTTGACTCGCCTCCATTCCTTGGTTTTAAGACTAGCAATTGCAACCGAGTCGTATATAAACATCACAACCTTGTAATCATTCTTGGAAGAGTCAAAACAAAGTCCCCAGGACGCAGCGGTTGTAATAAAACTGCCATATTTTCTTAATGTCAAGTCGTCAATGTCAAGCACTTTGGTACAAGATTGAGTAGCAGGATTCCACAAGAAAAGGTGTCGCTTGAAATTTAAAAGTATAAGACCATGACAAGAACCCCGAAACATACAATTATCTATAGAAGGCACAGAAATCTCACCACCCTTTTCCTTTAAAGGACAATTTAGCTCTTCCAAAGTGAGTTGTTCGTTTATGAAGCGGAACAAGGGTCTATAATTCTCCTCAAAAGACCATCTTGTCAACACTGAATAGTGTGTATACGTCACGGTTATAGCTCTTTCTCGTCGATGATTCGAGAGCTCAAATGTTGGACTTGAAATCAAAGAACGCCATGACTCAGAAACACACTTGAATCGCAAGAGCGATTTTACTGGTAAATTCGAGAGAATGATGATAGTAATTTCGTTGGGTATATCTGCCATCAGTTTTTTTAAGTAGATGTTTTTTTTTCTGGGATTTGGAAGAGTACCCTGCGTTTATATTGCCCTATTTATAAACTTGTGGGTTCAAATTATAATAGGAGGATTAAATAATAGTAGAATTATTTAGTAAATATAATTTTATTACTAGATATTTATTTTATTGGACTAAAGTATAATATAAATTATATGTTTGGTTTACATTAAATATTTTGGGCTAAATTTTTATTTGCAATTTTAACCTTGAATTTTTTAGGCGAAGAGGCTTGAACAAGAACATCTTTATAATTTTAGTGTTTTATCCCGTAATTAGTAATTCTGGTAAATTCCAAAATATAATCATTGTGATTTCGTCGGGTATATCTGCCATTAGCTTTTTGGCGTTTGAAGTAAACGCTTGTTTTTTGTTTTGGGTTTTCAGCGCGGAAGAGTAACTCTAAGGTCAACACGAATGAGTAAATTTTGTTAAGTACTATTTTTCTCTAACAAGTAAAGGAAAAACCCTTCCTAATATTCATATACTCTATATAATAGCTTAGTTGGTTCCGATAATTTTTGACTTTTACGATAAATGGTTAATATACACCTACAATAATATTTGACGTTCAAATATTACCTATAGACAAAAATTATCTAAAAATCAAGTTTTCATTTTTAGTATTACATATAAAAGATAAGAAAATTATTCAAATTCAAAATCTCAAAAGATATGCATATTTTAATAATTAAATATTAAAAAGCTAATACATTATTAATAGATTCACAACTAAATATACACATATTTAATAAACCCTAATGCACACATTTTAAAGCTACTTAATTAAATTTAAATTCTTTCAAGATTGATGGTAGAACTCTATAATGATATCTTCTTTTATAGATGCTAGTTTTTTAATAGTGATATAACACTTAAAGTGACGAAGATTTATGTCCAAACTTTTAGCAAAGGATATTTGATAGCTTTCCCTTGAAAGAAATCTAAGAACTTAACAGTTGAATCTTCTATCTCAGTAAAAGTTGCAGTAGGTTGAGATTCTCATCAACACTTTCATATTTGGTCAAAATCTCTAAACTTATTGTTGTAATCTTAGAGATACTACATGACCATTATAGACAAGTATTTTACAAAGAGCATACTAATACAAAAATGGATGTTGTTGCTAAAAGTAAAAAAGCTATCACAAAGAGGTAAAATATAACATAAAAAATTAATTTCAATAAAAACTTGACTGTTATAATAAAGTATTATTATAGAAAGATGTTATTATAGAAAGATGTTGCTATAGAGAGGTTGACTATAACCATATTCGTACGGGACTATTGTGGAGATATTGTGGCTGAGGAGAAAATGGCCCAAATTTAAGGTATGGGCCCATTGGACCTCAGTCCTAGAATTGCTCTATGTGCTTCGACCTCTGAAAAATTAAGGATTTTTCAGCAATTTGCAGGAAGTAAAGAATAATGGTTTCAAAGTAATTTTTTGTCATTTTATTTTTGGGAAACTTACAAAAATCATATATATGACTTTTTAATTATCATGTAAATTTAAAGTAGGACTTTTTATTCTTGTGCATAACTTAAAAACTTCTCAAACATTACTATTATTGAATCATATTAACCAAAATGTGGAGAGGGGTGGGGGCGTGAGGGGAGCCTTTACTAATTAATGACGTAAAAGAGAGAATCTTCACTGGACTTAATATCTTTCTGTTTGATTCTTTTTTATGAAGGTTTGGATCCTAAAGATCATTGGACAAAATTAGGCCACGCCGAAAATCCAATGATATGCTCTTTTCCACCATTCAAATATGTGTCAGCCTCGAATTCAAGCAACCAAAAGAGATTCCTCGTTCGTAATTTTAATAAGTTAAATCTATTTTACTAAATTTAGTTTAATTTTAAATGTGTTTTTTTTTTCATTCAAGCGTAAGTTTTAAATTATTACTTTAGTATTTTCAAATACTAGTATTTATAAAATATAGTAAGCTAAGTTACTATTTTTTACTTCATGCGTGTCACTTAAAAGGTATCGCGTAATATTTTTGTATGCACTCTCTAGATTCCTTAGCTAAACGTAGGGGTGTCAATGGTTCGGTTCGGCCGGTTATTTTATAAAATTTATATCATACCAATTTTTTGAGTATTCTATTATATATAATCAAAATTAGACTTTTCAAAACCGTCATAATCATGTCGATTTCTGTTCGGTATCGGTACGGTTCGGTTAATTTTCGATATTTTTTTAAATATCATGTAAAATTCAACGGTAGAAGTAGAATGCAATAATATACGTTCTTTTATAAAATTTAGTAAAATTCTCTAGTCATTTTTACTGTTTAAAGGGTGATGAATTAATAAAAATGAAAGATGGCTAGAGTATAGATCCATCAACTATTGTACATCAACGTAAAAGAAACCAAGCAAAGATAAAGAAAATATAAATCACATGAGTGAAAAAATATTAATCAAGCTGGGACACAAGAATAAAGTCTATAGAAGATTAAATATTCAAAAAGATAAATCTAAATTATATGAAAGAAAACATATTCAATACATTGTAGTTTGCTACTCATTATCGCTAGAATACTTAGTATCTTGCTAATAAAGATATTTGAAATAACTTAGTTTAAGTAGATGTAGCATAATAGATTTTAGGAATTAGTATTTTGAGTTTAATTACTTGTTGGTTTGTAATAGTTTTTATAATTTCAATGCCCAAAGAAAATTTTAATGCACTATTAATTTTAAACTTACTAGATAATATATTTTTCACATGTAAAATTTATTCAGTACGGTTCGGTATTTTTTCGGTTTATTTTTATAAAATAATAAATCTACCCTAATTATCGGTGCGGTTATAGATTTATATAAAAATCTACGATTTCTTAACAAAAAACCTAAAAATCGGTTCGGTGTGGTACAATTCGGTCGATTTAGTCGGTTTTCGGATATCCATTTACACCCCTAACTAAACGGAGATTGCTTATTTTGGCTTTTGATCCCCTAAATGGCATTAGGTCAAGTTCAGCTTTTTTGGCTCCTCAACCTGCTTATTCTTGTTTTAAAAAAAATATTCAAATAAGATGCTTATAATGATTATAAAGAGAAAAAAAGTTATAATAATAATAAATAAATAAAAACATCCAAATACTTCAACTTGTTAGATAACTTCAAACAAGTTGCACTGATCTGAGTATTTACCCTAAAATTGGATAACAATTAAATTTGTACGTGGTTTTAAGGATACGTGGATTGATTCAACACAAGTAATCAAGAAAGTTAGATGAATGAATCAAAGATAAAATAAATAATCAAACCAGTTATGACGTTAAGTCCAAGTTCGGATTTTAGCTTAACAATAGTTCCACCCTCGACAGAAGAAGAAAAAAAAAAAAGGAATTAATTCAGCTTGTCAACATTTTGTTGCTAGTGACCCTGCCCATTCTTCATATCCAGTGGCTACCAATTATCTTTCTTTGTTGGTATATATGATGAACACAAGACAATTAGTTAATCTACTTCGCTTCAAATATTAGTTTTCTAAAGGTTTATATACCCCTAAAAAATATTTACTTTAAATTATTCTTTATATAATTTGCTAAAATGAATAAGTAAAAAAGAAAAGTCATTTTAGTATAAGGAACTAGTAAAAAGAAATGAAGGGAAACAGTTGTAATTTTTCACTTACTCTCTAGACTCTAGCATAATTCATACGTAAATTAAAGTAAAAATTCTTACCAACAGAATATCAAGTAATTTTATTTAATGGACGCCTCTTATTGAAAGTGACCCAATATTGCAACTTGTACGTCACAATCAATAATTATACTGTGTCATGGACCATCGAACATGAAAGAGATTTTCTAAGGACAAGATATGAAACAAAATATTAAACTTTGATTCACTATCTTTTTCTTTTTGGTTCCAAAAAGCATCAAAAAGGGAGAAATCCAATGTCATTACATTACATCATCGGAGGGAAAATAAAACATCATGTCTCTTCTATTTCACCCAAGTGAAATGCTCTAAAGTGTCAATATTCAAGAGTCGCATATATGCAGGGTCCGAAGAAGGGACGCACCCTTAATGATATAGACAATCTATCGTAATGCAAGCGTTAGTAATTATTTCCACGACTCAAATCCAAGACTTACATGTCACACAGAGACAACTTTACCGATTACCGTTACTCCAAGACTCCCAAAATGTCAATGGAAATGTCAATGGCCCAATAATACTCCATTGAAAATGGAGGTAATCATATGTTACATCATATCTATTGCTTTCACACTACCCATTGGAAGGATTTAATGGCAAGTTTGGATTTCTCTAGTCTCTTAATCCATCATCACTCCTTATTTGGATGGGCAAACTATTTCTCTATATCCTTCGAATTCCATTTTTTCAAAACAACAATAAATACGTGTAACATTTTATGGAATAGTATAGAAATTCATTATTTGTTAGTCTATCAATTTAATTTATTTGATGTAGTTTAATTTGTTATGGAGTTTAAGAAGAAAGAAAATTTATATTTTAAGTTTTAAACATATTATGAGATATTTGTGATATAAAAGTATATAATTAAGGGAAAAAATAAAAGGAAGATAAAAAGATGTCATTCTTTTTTAAACGACTAATTAAAGAATAAGGACTAATTAAAGAATAATGACACATGAGATAGAAAGTCTCACATTGGAGATAAAGTGCTTCCTAGCAAAGACGACTTTACACTCAGGGATCGAATAAATTGGTACTTATCACTCTATCACACCTTGTTGGTGACCTTATTACAATTTCCCTTCTTAGTTGGAGCAAAATTAAGGTTAATGTCATACTCAGGGGTTGTTGCATAAATTTTAGGAAAAATTAAAGTTTAAGAGTAGATTTCTTAACACGTTCTAATGCACTTCTTGAGTTTTCAATTGTGAAAATAGTTAACTATCATGTGATAAACAATTTTCTTGGTATCGTTTAGGTTAAGACTATTAACTATTGCGTGA